CAGCAGTGTCCTTATGGGAAATTCACTGGGAAATTAAGAAGATACGCTTAAGGTGGCCTTTAATTAACTTTCAAGTTATTTATTTCATTATCTACAGCACTACACCATATGTGTTTTTGAATAATCCCAGGTACAATCCAAACATGCAAAGTCTAACATCTATCACAACACACGTGCTAAACCGAGATAGAAACCATTATTTTATAATGTAAATATGGTACAAAAATCTACCATCTTATCCTGGTTTGCTTTTCTTACGTGGCTTAATTGCACTATCACACAGCAATCTTAAAGCTATAATCACTTAACTGTCCATCTTCCACTGGTGGATCCTAGCTGTCTAAGCATCTTAGTGAGTAAGCTTGTTATATATACCTGAATTTCCTCCAAATTTAGTCACAGGCATATTCAACATATTTTATGTCTATAAGCTTATTCCAAGACACACTTTGAAATTACAGTGGCATAAAACATAGGGAACTTTTAGCCACAAAACCCTGACACTTATTCTATTCTATACGCTCTAAGTGATATCAAGTGCTTCTTAATCCAGGACATTTTAATGAAATGTTATTGTAAGATGACAGGAGGCATGGAAATACATAATAGTCCTATTTAAAAATCAAACCAGTTTTTTTTTTTTTTCTCCTCCCCTGAGGAAGTTTGATTCTTTTATATCATGTAGATTTACATACTGAATATTCAGTATCAGTTACACATCTCTCTTCAGTGCCAGAAACAGGTCATTAACTTGCTTTTTTCCCTTTTAATTATCAAGTCAGACAAAGTTATTTTCTGCCCGCTTTAAACAGGAAAAAAGACAAGTTAGCAATTAACTCAGCACCCCAACTACATCACTGTCGCTGAGCTTGAACCTTTCCAGGCAGAACAGTTGAAGCAGGACTGGTCATTTTCCCTATTTATGGACCATGCTGCTCTTGCTCAGCTGAACACACCAAACCATCCTGGAACGTGTAACCTCCTGCAGAGAAATTTAAGCTCTTTTTTTTATTAGCAGCCAGAATTTCTACAATGGACGCGTTATCATCTCAACTTATCCATACTGAGATACTCAGCATAAAGTTGCTCCATTTCTGAAGCAGATCACTCCAGTAGCAAGATGTTCACAGAATCATGGAATTATTCAGGATGGCAACGACCTCTCAGATCACCAAGTCCAACACCAGCCCATTCCCACCTTCCCACTGATTCGCATCCCACAGTGCCACATCTCCATTGTTCTTGATATGTGACAGTTTGGACTTGCTATGTTCTCAATGCCTCCAGCATGGATTTGGGAGGAAAAGCAGCAATTGTCAGTAGAAGTAGGTTTCCTTGGATAAGAATAATTATTTCTTCTGCTGTATTTTTTTTTCATCTGAAATCCCACTTATCACATTTGAGCTTATCTGCTCTTTTTCCATCAGTTATATTAAATCTTAGCTTTCGAGTATCATCACTGGGGAAAAAAAGCAACATTTCCTTCTCTTTATTTTTCATTTTTGCATCATGAAATGCTCTGTGAATTTGTTACATTAAGAAACAAGTGTTAATCTATTTCAGTATCGATTTAAATACTCGTAGGCCCTCCCCTTATTTTTACTAACTGGAATACTCTGAGTTTTTCCTCTCCAGAGAGGGATGGCAGCCTTGCTCTACAGCATATTCTTACCTCCCTGCCCTAAGGGCTGCAGATTATTCAGATGAAAGGAAAGGTTCATCAGTGCTCTAGTAATTCAGCTTTGACTCCCACTGAACAATGATGCAGAAGCTCAGCAAAGGCTCCCAGCACAGCTTGAGCATTTCCCTGTGGGACTTGTTATAAAGAGTAGCTTAGCCCACTCATCTGCCACACTCACTTTGGAGTACCTTAATATTCCCAAGAAATTTCCTGTGATTCTTTCTGTTACAGAATCATAATGCCAAAGATCTCACATCAAGGTTGGGTGATACGTTTCTCCTCGGAGGCTGGAAAACAAAGCCACTTTCCAGTGATCACAGATTTGAGCATCAATGCTGCCTTACAGGTTAGCCATGGAGTAACACGAGGACATGGGCTCTGCTATTTAGAGTCCAGTAAATTCACTGCAAAACTCAAAGCAGATTCTGTCATACCGTAACACTAAGATGTAAACGTTTACAAAGGAAAAAAAGATACAAGATAAGATATAAGAAAAGATATAAGATAAGATATAAGAAGAAACACTGCATGCACTTCACATCTGTCAGTCAGTGTGCTTGTACAATGGGCTCTGAGGACTTCCAGACTTTAAGAAAGCAAACAATCTTAACCTCAAAGGAGACCTTGAATGCTCTCCCCTCTCCCAGTCCAACCCTGCTGCTTTTAAGCACAAGTCACTTGTGGCAACAACATCTGTAACGCAGGACCTCTTAGAGTGGTCCTCCTCACAGCATGGTCCCAATAACAGGCACAGATTATTCACAAACACACCAACATTTTTCTTTCCCAGTTCATGTTATTGCAGAGATGCTGCTTTGAAACTACCCTTCAGAGCCCAAAAGCAACTCTCCAGTATCAGATTTTTCCCACCTTTCTTCCTTTATCTCTGCCTCACATGTCTGGTTGGAGAGGTTTGCAGTGATGCTCATGAGCAAGGTCTGCCATTTATGTACCTGCCTGCTACAGAACCCACGCAACACCTCACAGGTGGAGTCAAACAATACAAGTGAGCACTTCTGTACGCTGGTGGTATAAATTGGTATAAGCAGACAAGCCCACACTGGGCTCAAGGAAACCATGCTGTCTTTCTCCTCCATCTCTGCTTACAGGTATGCTCATGCAGAAATCCCTCTTTGTGAGCTATGGTGTTGTCTTTGCTCCTTTGAATTCCTAACAGAATTGGAAAAAACAGCCACAGGGCTTGAAGCCCTATCCTTTTGGTCATTTTCAGACACTGAATCCAGCTGCCAGAAACAAGAAATTCTTAGGTAATCCTGGCAATACATAAAAATGAACGGCGATTCGTAGAAAAACAAGAAAAAACGACCACATGAAACCTTCAAGGATGCAAGTAAAGTCAAGTAGAAGTGATAGTTAGTTAACAGCCAAGAAAGTTAACGCTTTCCCATATAATTCAGAGGATTTGTTCTCCAGTTAAGTCTTGCCTTGCCTTGAATGACTTACACACAAAAAGTTATCTAACTTTCACCTCCTCTCTCTCTCTCCCAGGAAATATTGGCTTTGTTTTAGTAAAATCCCAGCTAAGTTCCTTTTCTTCATCACAAACATAGCTTAAAACTTCTGCTACAGAACAAGGGATTCCTGCTATTTTATTACTGTGCAATTTAGAAATTGGATACAAAACTCTGCAAAGTGCTTTCTACATTCCATTGATGGGTGCATAACAATTAGCTTGCATGACATTCGAAAACAAAGGCAAGAAATACAGCTAGAAACTGAGATCTTCTGTCTCCCACATACTTTTCTTTCCATAGAAGAAATAACACGCAACTGTTTGAATTGTGCTTGTTATTTAATCAGTTGCTCCATAGAAGAGCGAATTAAGGCAGGGTGTCAGACACTTAAATAACCAGCAATCAATTAGTACTTCAAAAATTTATCCCAGCTGTGCTCATTTCTCACCATCAAGAAATCCACTTCAACTGACTGAATAAAATTGCTGCTGTCCTCTAACAGCAATGCCTACAGCTCTACTTCTTTCTCTGAAACACAATGTATATCCAGCTATTCTTCCTAAATTTTGGAAAGAAAAACAACACTAATCCCTTTAGAATTAGGTTCAGGAAAGTATCTATTTGTGGTACGATTACCAGAAAGACTGATTAAAATTAAAACCATATATGTGACAAGAGGGAAGCCATCCAAGCATGCCTTCAAGTTGCCTTTGCTGTCATGTTAAGCGGAGGCTGGTGGCTTATTTTTGAAGGCTGAAAAGTAGATTATTATTATTATTATTTTCTCCCCAAAGATAAAAAGCAGAGGTCAGAGTTTTTTATTTTTGGACACCAAACATTGAAGGCTGGTGTCGGTATTTTCATTTGAAATGCAAAAGGTGAGGCTGGCTTTTGTGTTTTTGGAGACTTTCTATCATACTCAAATGTTTCAAATTCAGTGTGAAAACTGTTTTTTTATCATAGAAATCACAGAACAGCTTGAGTTAGAAGGGACCTCAAAGATCATCTAGTTCCAATCCCCCTTCCTTAGGCAGGATTGCCAACAACAATCAGGCTGCCCAGCAGCCCATCAAGCCTGGTTTGAAACATATCCAGAGATGGGGCAACCACCACCTCTGTGGGCTGCCTGTGCCAGGGCCTCACCACTCTGTAAGTGAACAATTTCTTCCTAACATCTAGCCTAACTCTTTTAGCTTAATGCCATTCCCCCTTGTCCTGTCACTATCAGTGTACAAAGTCCATCTCCCACCTGATTGCAAGCTCCTTTCAAGAGCACGATGAGATATTCTCAGAGCCTCCTCTTCCCCAAGCTAAACAAGCCCAACTCCCTCACTCTTTCTTCATAGGAGAGGTGCTCCAGCCCTTTGATCATCTTCCTGGTCCTCTACTGGACCCATCCCAACAGCTTTTTATCACCCCTGTACTGAGGGCCCAGGCCTGAACACAGTACTCCAGATGCAGCCTCACAAGGGCAGAGTAGAAAGGGACAATCCTCTCCCTGCTGCCACTCTTCTACTGATACAGCCCAGGGTACCATTGGCCTTCCAGGCTGCAACAGTGTTCTGCTGGCTCACGTCAGCTTTTCATTCACCAGGACCCTCAAATCCTTCTTGGCAGGGCTGCTCTGCAGGAGTTCATCTCCCAGTCTGGACTTGGCAAAGCCTTCAAGAGCTGTCAGATTCACTCCACTCCCCTGCCTCTAAGGACAGCTCCCCAGGGAATCTCAGCCAGAAATTCCCTAAAAAGTTTGTTTTCCAGGAGGGTCTTGACTTTTTGCTATCTTCTGAGGATCACCCAAACAAACAGGGCACAGTCAGTACAGCCCCCAGTGCCACCAATCTTACTTTCTTTAATGAGCTCCTCTGCGATGGCAAGCACCAGGTCCAGTAACACTTCACCTCTGATTGCTTTGTCTAGACCAGAAAGTTCTCCTCAGTGCAACTCCAGGAGTCTCCAGGATTGTTTGCAGCCTGACACACTGCTTTCTCAGCAAACATCCTGGTGGTTCAGATCTCCCATCAAGATGAGCCTGCAGGCAAGACGCTTCTTGAAGCATAGGCAAGAAGGCCTCATCCACAGGCTTCCCTTGACCAGGTGGCCTGTGATAGACCCTGACCACCAGGAGCCCAGATGACTGCTTCAGGATTGATGAGAGTGCTGTGGCTGCAGTACTGTGACAGCAGCAGAACTGTCACAATGGGGGGGGAGGGGGTGTTTATAGGGGCAGTGCTGCAGCACCACACCCTATAGAACTCTGGTGGTTGCAGCACACACCTCCTAAGGACCATGGCTCAGGTAATCTTCACTGCCCTGGCTTTGCTGGGGATCTTTCAGATACCTGAGCTGGAACTTCTACATGTGGACGTGCACGAGCACAACATGCAGCAGCTGTTTCTGGCCACGGCTCGGCTGCTGCACAGTATGGAGCAGGGGAGCCAGGAGCAGAGCTGGGCGGCTGAGGAAGCTCTACACTGTGCTGCCTTGCCACTCTGCGTCTTGGCTGGGCTTCTTGTGGGAACCCTCATCCTGCTGGCCGGGTTCTGCCTTGGGAAAAGGGAAGGGAAACCAGAGAGAAAGAAGTCAGAAAGCTCCTCAAGTGAGGAGGAGGACAGCGAGGCAGAGGAAGACAGCGACTCTGATGAGATGTACAAACTGGGCAGAGTTTGGGCCAGGAGCAACCAGTGGCCGACGTCATACATGGTTGCCAAGTGCCAAATCGTGGAGGAGCTGGTGGATAACCTTCTCTGGGCCTGCCAAGGTCTCTCCTGCCACGGCTTCACACCTCGGCTGCAGCAGGCCATCGGGGTGTCCTGGATCTATGAAGGATGGAGCAACCCCAGAGAAAATCTTCTCTATCGCCTGCTCGTGCCCATGAGGCCTCCCCCTGGGCACACCTTCCACCCAGAGACAGATGACACAGAGAAGATGTCGGCAAGGAAGTTCTGCCTGCGTGTGGAGCTGGAGTGCACCTGCGTGAGAGAGCAGCTGCTGGGAGACATGCTGTGCTTTCTCCACCATACTCGAGATGAGCTGAGGAGGAATCAGGAGCCCAGCCTCCTAGACAGCTTCTGTAGGGGCTCCTACCTGCACAGGGAGAAAACTACCCGCTGGTTCCAGCGCCAGGTGCAAGCAGCTTGGTGGCATCTGCCTCAGTCGTACGACTGCTGCCTGAGAGTGCTGCCCTCCCTCAGCTCCTGCAAGATCAAACTGACCATCCCTTCCGTGGACACCTTCTCCATTGAGATGATGCTTGGGGTGCAGCTCAACTCGGACACCTTCCTGAGCTTCAAATAGGTTGAAGCACGGAATGGCATAGCCAAAAATGGACTTTGGTGTGGTCACCAAGGGCAAGGGGGACAACCTGCCTGTCCCAGACTCTCCTGGGTGCCCGTGCACCAGAACTGAGCAGCAGACACTGCTCATCAGGCAGTGGGTATCACTCCAGCACATTTTCTCCACTGTGGAATAAGTGGTGGAATGTCATATATCTGATTTTTGTTATGGACTGCCAATTGTTAGGAACCTGGTTTTCAGAAGAGAAGGACTACGTTCCCCAGAGGAGTTTTTGTTTCCATTTTCTGTTCAGAGGGAAAGATAAAACTGCTTGCAATCCCGAGGCATCCCTTTTTCCCTTTCTGTTCCTCTGCAGTGTGTGCTTCCTAGCTGTCTCACTTTCAGCATTAGAGTTAGGCCTTCGTTTTTGGACACACACACATTTTATTTGATTTCTAAGCTTCAATTCCAATTGTATTATATTGTGTTACCTTGCATACTGATACCATATTTAGTAAATAAACCTTCTTCTTCAGATCGTTGCTGCTGTTCTGTTTTTAGGTCCACCTCCCTACCTTTTCCCTTTTTTTCCCCTTCCCCATTTCCTGGGATGTGGATCCATGGGTCCCTGCCCCATTGGTCATAGAACCAGGCCAAATCAGCCCATAAACCACTGACACCAATCACATTTTGGGGAATCTGATTTGGTGCAACTAAAGATGATGCTGTGTGAAGGCTTGCAACAGAGAACTGTTACATGTGGGCAGTGACCGCTCAACATCTTGGAGAGATTTCATGACCTCTGGGAGCTCCAGCCTGTGCACCCATATCAATAAATTGTGTAAATGGCAAATAAATTGAGCGTTTGCACAGAACTTTACAGAGGAACATGGGCATAAGGTGCTGAGTGCCTCCCTGCTGCATAGCTGCACAACCAGGGCCTATGTACAGAAAGAGAACCACAGAATAACCGAGATTAGAAGGGTTCTCCCAACAGCCAGCAGAGCTGTGCTGGCTGTCACAGATCACCTCCTCATCTCACATGTGCCACACCATTTCCTCCAAGAGGATCCACTCCATGACCTTCCTAGGCACAGGCATGAGCCTCAACACCCATAGCTCCCTGGGTTTTCTTTTCTCCTTTCCTTAGAAATGAGAGCATTTTTTCACTTCTTACAGTCACCAGGAACTTCACCTGACAGCCACAACTTCTCAAATAGGATAAAGAGTGGCTTGACAACATCAGCTAGCTCCTTTCAGCCCCTGGGATGTATATCATCTGGCCCCATAGACTCGCACTTATTCAGCCTCAAGAGTTGGTCTCAGACTTGCTCCACTCTTACACTGGAAGGGATTTTGCTCCTCCAACCCCTGCTTGGAGTTGAGAGACATGAGAGATTTAAGAAGTCTGACTAGCAGCAAAGACTGAGACAAACAACTTCTCAGCTTTCTCTGCATCTGAATAGGCCCTTTTCATTTATCAGAGGGGATATGCTCTCCTTTGCCTGTCTTTTATGACCAATATACCTAAAGAAACCCTTCTTGTTTCTTATGTCCCTCTCCAAGCTTAATTCCATCCACCCTTGTCTTTCCTGATTCCATCCTTGCACACCCTGGCAGCATCCCTGCGTTCCTCCCAGGTCACCCATCCCTGCTTCCACTGCTTATACTTTTCCTTCTTTTCCCTCAGCCTTACCAGCAGATCCTCACATTGCTCAGCCATGTTAGTTTCCTGCCTCCTCAATCTGAAGGCAACCCCCCCTTGCGGCCACCCTCCTCCCCCCCACCTTGCTTATCCCTTCAGAAAAGCTTATAGTTCTCAATCCTGGTATTTCAGATATGTGAATCATCCCACCATGTTTCCACAATAGTAGTGAGATCATCATTTTCCAAGTGCAGCACGGTTTCCTATTCCTACCGCTTACTTCCCATGCTGTATACACTGATGTAGAGGCACTTGATTTGGGCTTTTGAACAAATTACCTTCCTAGAGGTGCTCTCCCACAAACCTCCAGGACAAATGTGAGGTTTTCCCCCACTGCTTCCTTGAGTGACAGCATTCCCCAGCTGTCACTCAGCCATACACTCCCTTCCCTCAGCAGATGTAGTTTTAAGACCTGGTGATGAGCCCCACCAGCTTACTATTCTTAATATTCTTACCCACCTCCTGGTCAGTTGCATCCTCATGTCAATATTCCTGGTTTGTCAAAGGTGCATCCTAGGTCATAGAACCCATTTCTTTCAGCATGGCACTACCCATACAGCCAGATCTTCAAACGATCCATTCTCCTCCTCCTGCCTGGATCCCCATCTCTAACTGGGAGGACTGAGAACACTACCCACACACCTGATCCCTTCAACATTTTCAAAAGTGATTTGAAGTCTTATCTTACATCATTTAATTTCCTGGCTGCAGCTTCTCACAACCCAGCTCAATAGAGCATGAGGGGATAGCATTCCTCCAGCTTTATCATAACCAATATCCTCTTCTTCATGTCCCCAGTGTGGGCCTCTGGCAGCCAGCAAACTTCTCTAGAGAGATTTTCTGGTGGCAGATGAGCACCTCAGAAAAGAATCTTCAGTCACTAAGACCTTCACCTTTTTTAGCAGCACCAATCATGACTTGGGTCCTCAGCTGAATCCTCTTAATGCGATCACCCCTTTCTTGTTTTGAATTGCTATCCATTCCTTCTTCTCTCTCTGACACCAGAGCTTGAAATTTATTGGTTAGTCTGACTTTTGGAGCAAGGGGAGAGCTACTCCTTCTGCCCCAAGCAAAGTTGAGAGACCTGTATCCCTCACGCAGTACCTCTCCTTCTGGTGGCCCCCTGGCTGAGATGAGCAACACATCACAACTGGTCTCAGAACTCCACATCAAGAATGGAGCTCAGTTATCTTAAATCATAGAATCACCAAGGTTGGAAAAAGCCTCCGAGATCAACCAATCCAACCGTGCACCTACCACCAACATTTCTCCTCTACGCCACATCCCTTACTATCACATCACATTTCTTGAATGTCTCCAAGGACAGTGACTCCACCACTTCCCTGGGCAGCACCTGACCACTCCTATGGAGAAGAAATTTCTCCTAACATCCAAGAGTTTTTTTCCTAATATCCTAGTATCTATACAGCTTCCTTAAATAGCCAAAAAAAGATTCATTTCAAGTCAACAGAGGAAGATTCCAGTTAAACCAGAGATGAAAAAGTAAAATCTAGCAGAGATGCTTAAGGACCCGAGGATCATCTTAATGCTACATTTTTTTTCCAAAGTCTATTTCTTTCAGTGCTGCAGACTACACCTTAAGACATGATTTTATTCTTAAATATTACATGGTGATAAATCCATCTCTAAGTAAACGCAGCACCACAGTCACTTGAGGAAAGCAGTCCTTACACCCATGCTCCCGGGGCATGCATGCAAGGACCCAGCTCCTCACCACAGTGCCTGAAGATAGAAAAGGCTGCTGGCTCGAGAGCAGATGGCCCTGGGGTTAACAGCAAGAGAGCTTATCTTCCTGTGACCAGGGATTAAGAAACCTGATATGTGGTTATCTGAAGAGAGCACATGACATCACTGAGCCCTAGTAATTATGCCTTACAAGTTTTGCTTTCTACAGAGCTTTGGCTGACCTGTATTTAATTATAGGGTCTTAATTACTGAAGAAGGCAGTGTAATTTTTTTTTTTTCTTGCATGAGCCCCCATAAAATGAAACTGGAGGGTATTATCATCAGGTCATATTGTTGAGGAAATTGTCATCTAATGACCTATGCCTTTTATATCAGCTAATGAATATGTCACCTCAGTGAGAAAGCGTGCCACAAGTACATCTGTGCTTGCATGCTCACAGTGCACAAGTCCAAGAGCTTAACTAATAGTGACAGAGTTCAAAGGACTACACATGTAAGCAGTGGACAATTTTATATCATTTTTATTGGAGAAATGTTAATTGCAGGCCAAACTTACCATTAGTTATTGTTGTATAAGTGAAATACTGCACATTAATCAAAATGTATGTCTGTATACTGCAGTGCATTACAACAAGAGCCCACAGTGAAAAATCTTGGCAGCAATTAGTATATTCTCCAATTTTAGCTACCAAAACAATAGATGAACATGCAGAACATAAGTCTAGGCATACCTAATGAAATATCACTTCTAGCATTCAATGACAAAAAAAAAATCTAAACTTAATTGTCAGTGCTTTTAGAGATATATCTGTCTTCTCCCACATTCCAAGCCATAAATTCTCCATAAATTTTTATCGTCAGACCTCCTTGTGGAGGATTTGTGGCATTTGAACAATAAATCAATAGCACGTTATAAAATATTGGCTCACTGCGGAGGTTCTCCGAAATGACACACTCAAGAAAAATTGGATCTGCTAGAAAGACTCTCTATTTTCCCTTTTGGGATAGATCGTATCTGACATTCAGCATCACTTCCAGTTTAACCAGAGCAAAGAAGCTCAACTCTCAATGACCATCACAGGAAAGATAAATCAGAAGGGGAAGCGAAGAGAAAAATAAGTGGAAATTTAAAAGGAATGCACTTTGACTCTAGAAATACAGAGTTTAGTCCCTGCCGTTGCCCATGATGTTTTGCTGGATGCTGAACAAGCCATTTAGCCATCCCTAGTTTCTGCTGTTCTCCCTAGAGAGGGATGCACTCATCCGTTTTAGGCTGTGGAATGATGGATGAGAAATTAAGGCTTATGTCTAAAAAAAAAAAAAAGTACATTATGGTTCAAAAGGAAATGTGATAACATCATATTTATTATCTACAGCAAAAGCTGAGCAGAATGTTTTATTCTGAACACTTCCTTCTTGCAGATACCACGTTTAACACCCAAACAGACTGATGAAAGAAGTTAGTCAGCTTCCCACTTAGGAAAGCTGAAAATCTCTCCTTAACTAATACTGGTGATAGTGAGACGTCTTACAGCAGCACAGCCAAGAGCTCACACAACTCTCATTAACAGATATACTCATTAGAAGACTTCTCAGAGAAGCTAAATACCCAGTAGGCACTGAGTTTTTAATAGTCCAAGGCAGCAGCTGGCCAGGCTCCCAGTATGTTAGAGGTGACTGGAGGGTGCAGTTATGTCAGAGTTCACTCCACGCCACTCCAGTAAATAAGAGCCTGCTGGCAGCTCAGCATCATTCACAAGCAGTAAAGAAAAAAAAATGAAGAAGCAGGTTAACAATGCCACTGGAGAGCTCATTAAAGTGTCTTTACTAAGTCTTTTTTCATGGAAAAATAACATCTAACTCAACTGAAAATTACAGTTTATGGATCAATAATTGTTGCTTTGCGAAGGGGATTGTGAAAAGCTGAATTTAAATAGATAGTTTTCCAACTCACTGCAACTGGCAGGTTTGGTCTTTCCAGTCAACTAATATCAAGAACTAATTTGTTCAACAAAACAGCATGTTTACAATCAGGTTTTAATAAAGACTGCTATTGCTAGACAACAGTACTAGGGTTTCAGCACTGCACT